AGTATACTATATAATGCTGCAGTGATGTTCCTTGAAAAACATCTTTTTGTGCCTGAGTATTTCTGAGAAAGTCCTAGAACTGATATGTCCCAGTTAAAGCATATACATTTTTATAGTATCTGATAAATTATTCTTCCCAAAGATAGTTTACATCTATCAACTGTGTATAAGTGACCATTTTCCCACATTTTTGCCAATATAGTTGTTGCAGTCTTTCTCGTTTTCACTTAATATGACTATTGGGTGATAAATGGTGATTGCTCCCATTTCTAGTGATATTATCTTCCTTTGTAAATTCACTATATATTTTGCTTATTTTTCTATCATATTCATATTTTTTTGTACTGATTTGTAGGATGGCCTCTATTTTTGAAGGACCAAATTAAGATTTGGAATTCTGTCTATAAAAGTGTTAATGGAAGTATTAGATGTTTGATAATTTTATTTTCTTTATGCCAATGAGGCAGAAATAAAACAGTGTGAATGTAGTATTTGAAAAGATTTTACAGGTAATTCATTTTGAAAAGTAATCTTCTTGGAAAAGTATTTCCTAAAATGGTATAGTAGTGGTGGTGTTAAATTAGGAACTTTGATAAATTTCTGGTTTGTGCTGTTTGCTTGAACCATTTCACATTTTCATGCTTTTCTTTGTCACTAAAATAATAATTGCCACAGTTTCTATTCTAATGTGGACAGCAGTTTTGAAGTATATATAATGGACTTCAGGAAAAATGAAGAGAATATAGATGAATCATGAAAATATTGAGGGAGCTTGTGTTGAAACATGTAGATCAGTGTTATTTTCTTATGAACTAGATAAAAATACCATTTAAAATGATGTAATACTTGAAAACAGTGGCTGTGTTCAAGGCACTGTCACAAGTACTGGGAATACAAAGATGAATAAAACAATCTGTATTGGTCATAATCTATCAGAAGAGAGAGGCAAGATAGATTAGGTTCAGGTTATGCATCTTTGGTGGGAATATCATAGAAGTGAGGCTGTGTTCTTCTATTAAGATGGTAGCTACATTTGTGGTGAGCTTAGCATAATGCCTGGAGAAGTTGAGCCACTGTGTTGTACACCTGAACTGAACGGAACATTGTGTGTCAACTATAATCAAATAAAAAATTAAAAAGGGAGTGTACAGTTCCGATTTATCTTAATATTGCTGGTGTTTACTTCCTTTGATCCTTAATTAAATTCACAAAGTTCTTCTTTCTCCCTTTGTCATTAATAATTATTTTGAGGGGAGTTATTTTGAGATGATGTGAGAATCCTGTTGCTTATCAAAATTTAACTGATTATATTGGTATGGACTCACAGATTCTTTTTATTAAATGGGTTTTAATCTATTACTATTATTTATTTTGATGCTTAAATTGCCCCAGATTTTGCCACTGGGAGCCTCTTCAAGCTGGTTTCTGTGTCCTTTTGACATGTTCCCATCATTCAGGTATTTCCCGTCTGGAAAACATGGCTCATCTTGACTTTCCTTGCCCTATTTGTGGAATCAGCCATTTCTTCAAGGAGCCCTGTTTCTTCTTGATAGAAAATGGTTTTTAGGAGCAAAGTTCTCTGTTCATTTTAATTGCAGTGCTGCTGCTCTCAGACCTTTTAATGAGCATATGTGTATACATACATATACATGTTTGTAGCCGTATTTATTTCTGTATCTACTTATACTGAGAACTATACCTCTAGTTCTTATCAAACACCACGGGATTAATTCTAATATTCTTCCTTTGTCTACGGCCATACCACCCTGAATGCGCCCGATCTCGTCTAATATTCTTCCTTTATATATCCTCCAACAGTGAGAAAACTGGCTTTTATTATCCGTAATATGTTTACTTAATTAACCCCCTCCCCAATACCCTGCAAGGGCTGTTTCCTGGGTGTGTGCCCTCCTTATCCTGCTCCCACATCAACACACTACTCCAGATTGCCCTCCTGCATGGAAGCCCTATTTATCTCTTTGGGATCTGATGCTTTCCTCTTGGGTTCTGACACCCTGCATCAGGCAACCTCCCTGCTCAGGCTCCAACACCTTGAGCTGGTCTCCTTCTTCAGCCTCTTCCCCCCACCACTGATGCTCTCTTCCTTCCACTCAGACTCTAGCACCCTGTGCCTGACCTCTTCCCTACAAGTATGGTCTCCTCGTCCTGCTATGGCTTTGATACCCTGAAACACTGCCATTCTTTCACTAGCCTCTTCATCACACAAACAGATACTTAATATTATTGGGCTCTGACACCCCCCCCCCATGCTGAGGAGACTCCTGTCCATCTTTTCCCCAAATGCAGATGCTTACCTTACTGTGCTTTACCTTATGGATTTTAGACTGAACGATTGAGGAAGAGAAAACAACCGATTTGTTATTCCATCAATTGCTTCATGAAGAATATGCAGTAGATTCTTTTATCAGTCTCTAATTACTCTCCATTAAGGAATTCGTAGTGTACCATGTAAACAGTGTGGCTAAGCATATAGCCCCACTTCCATCTGGATTCTCTGTGTCCATTGTTGCTTTGACTTAACTTCCTTTTCATCAGAATGTCTACTTCTTACTCAGGGCCTTTATTAAGTCTTAGCCTTTACTTCAGTACATACTCAAAATGTTGTTTTAACTATTGAGCCTTTATCTGTTGATTTCTCTTAAAGGTTTTGCATTAACTAATAATTGGAAAAGTGTAAACTTTGTGATACTGCAATTTTCTGTCTTTGCAACCTGAACACCCTCTTTCTCATTCTGTTTGGCTGTGGGTTGTTACAGTAGTTAGTGGTAGAGATTTTGGATGAGCTCTTTAGATCCTCTTGGTGGATAGATCACTCGCCCTTGGATTTGATTCAAAACAGATCACCTTTTTATGTGGAAACCTGAATGCCAGGATACAACCCTCATGAAACATCCCCAGGAGTTAGTAGGTGATCTTTTCATCAGCAGTGGTATGTTGATTACTATAAAATTGTAACAATAAATATGAAATAGGCACAGATGTTACTTTGTAGCATATAAGCCATTATTTTTGGTTTTGAATGTAAGACTTTTTCAGTGTTTTCTTCCTTTTAAAATTTGTATTTTTTTAGTTTTTTAGTTTATTTATTTATTTTTTAAGATTTCATTTGTTTGACAGAGAGCAGGAGAGCATAAGCAGCAGGAACAGTAGAGGGAGAGGGAGAAGCAGGCCCCCCGACGAGCAGGGAGCCTGATGTGGGGCTCCTTCCCAGGACCCTGGGATCATGACCTGAGCCGAAGGCAGACGTTTAACCAACTGAGCCACCCAGGCGCCCCTTATTTTCTTTTTTTAGTTTAAAACAAAAAAGGAAGAAAGAAAGAGAAGCTCATGTTGTAAAGCTAGCCCCCAAATTTTAAGTTGCCAGTTGACATATTTTTCAAAGGTTTGAGAAGTATGAGAACACGTTTTTCTAGTTTTGAGATATAAAGGACATATAATATTATATTAGGGTGCGCGACATGATTTGATACAAATATATATTGCAAAATGATTACCACAGTAACTGCCATCACTTCACATAGTTATAACTTTTTTTCTTGTGAGAAGAACTTTTAAGATCTATTCTCTTAGCAACTTTCAAATATATAATACAATATTGCTAACTACAGTCACCATGATGTACATTATATCCCCAGAACTTACTATCTTATAGCTGGAAGTTTGTACCTTTTTACCATCTGCACTCATTTTCCCTACCCCCCAACCTGGGGTCACTACCAAGCTGTTCACTATGAGAACATTTTTTTACTCATTTTCTAAACTGTAGGAAAAAACAGTTATTGAAAAATGAAAACATTTAAACATTTTTTTCTGGTTCTTTTACCCTTAGGTTTCCCTATCACTATTACTAATAAACATTTTGTTGTTGAGCTTTTCTTTTTCTTTTTTTTAAAGAGATGTTTAACTTGCCTCTGAATTGCTAACATTTCGACAATTTAGAAATATGAAACATTGTAATCTGGCAATGTTGTCTAACCCAATTTTTAAACTTGTTTTGTGATCTCTGAAGATAGGACTCTGGTGAGTAGAGAACATTTTTAGGAAGTTGACAAATCAGCTGTACTGAATTTCAACTAGAAAGTCGTTTTCATGTATTCTTCCTGTTTTAAAATCTGTTTTTCTAGTTTTCTGTAAAGTCACCTATGCTATTTTGCCTTACATGATCATTAACCATGTATCTCTCTTTGTGATTAAGGCTCGTTTTTCTTGTTGTTTTGTTTTGTTTACCTTTTTCTGATTTATCACAAGATAATTTTGTTATAGGTAGGTTGGGTTAGTCATGTTAATGCTGTATTAACATGAGAGAGAGTTTTTAACAGAGGGATAATTTTCTTGTTTCTTCGATCATAAAATAAGAACTTCTTTCCTCACTTTTTACTCTTCAGTTCATCTAACTCTTTCTCAATACATCTAAATGTGGACGTGCTTTGTTGCTGTTTGTTGCATCTGATAGGAGGAGATGTGCTTAGTCCAAACTCTACTCAGAGTGAATCCAAAGTAGGAACATTGTTTCCCCATGGAACAATGGGAAATACAGAGCTGATGGAGGTTAAGAAGGATTAATATAAGTTAATATATAAATACAACATTTAGTGGCAGCTTCTGAGACAAGTGTAGATGAATTTGTCTAATGTAGATCATTAATACTTCTTATTGTTGAGATAAATATCTTTGATTAGATTTAGTAATTATGTCCCTCATATTTGGAGCCAGAGTATGGTAACCGAGCCCAAGTCTCTACTCATTCTTAGAATGGTGAAATCAGGACACTAAAAATGTGATATGTTGTCTTACATTTTATATAGAAATGTGGATGTGCTTTGTTGCTGTTTGTTGTATATTTTTCATTCTTACTGAAGGAACTGGAATGGGGTTTAATGAATTTTCACTTTTATTAAATTCACCTTTTTTCTCCCTTACATAATTTACCTTGCAGTTTAATAAATCTCTGATTCCTAATTTAACTTTTGAACTCTTAGGCCTTTAGATGCTGGTCTGGAGAAACTTCAGTAATGGATCAAAGGAAGAATGAGAGTATTGTTCCTAGTATCACTCAATTAGAAGATTTTCTAACAGAACACAATTCCAATGTTGTTTGGCTCCTTGTTGGTAAGTAGAAAATATTTTCTTACACTTTATTGTTTCTTATGTATGGATTAACAACTGCCAAATTTTAAGCAGTAGTTAGCTGAAGTTGAAATGCTTACAATACCATTGGTTTATTTCTTGGAAAAAAGGTTTTAATCTATGTTTCTATGAATATTTGTTCTGGCAAGTGCTCTGAAGGGTTCTTTTTCTTAGGCTTCCTCTTTGTCTGACTTAGGGGAGGTGGAAGGAGAAGAAAGACATCGTACTTAGCTTATCTTTCCTGTCTCAGGTCCACTCCTTCACTGTCCCCCTGCATCTCAACACATGTGCACGCGCGCGCGCACACACACACACACAGTTTGTTTTATTTTAAAAATGATAAATCCCCGTGGTATATATATTTTATAGCAAAATAGAGTGTATATGCCTAATTAATCTCATCTCTTTACTCACTCCTTACATACTTGACATGGAGCTCTGCCAGTAAAAATTTTTGTCTACTATTCCAGAAGCTTTCTAGGTTCATAGACATAATAAAAAAACAGTGTATAAATCAGTGGCAAAGAGAAGGGGGAAATATGAGTGAATGAATGACTATGAGCAAATAATAGAGGGAAATACAAAATAATAATCAGGAAAGGAGAGAATACTGTAGGCTGTTATTGTCCAGGCAGTTTTTGTGGAAGAACAGTATTTGATTTGAATTTCAGCATAACAATTAGAAAGGTAGAGGGGTAAATAGAAAGGGTAAGATGGGGTAAGAGGGAAAGAGAGTGTAATGATGTTTATTGAGTATCTTCTGTGTGCCACATATCATTGGCATTTTGCATATGTCATCTCACTTAATGCTCAGAGCAAACTTATGAAGGCAGCAGACTCTTAACTTGTGGAATTGAGGCCCATAAGGATTAAATAACTTATACAGGTAACATAGCTGTTTTTTTCTGCGTGCATGCTTATGCTTCTTTCATGACACCACAGGATATGTGGTAAGGAAATGGGTAGAGGTGAAATGTGTATAGAAGGAATTATTATTTGTGATTTGTATGTAGGATTGGATTACCATTTAAACTTTTGAGTTCTATTTTTTCTAATTGACAGAAGTGAGCCATTATAAATTATCATTGATTAAAGCCAAAAAAGTAAGATGAAATGCAGAACATTCATATGAAGTAGAATTGCATAAAAGCAGCATTGAAAATTCTCTTTTAGTTTAATTAAGGGTGTTTACTCTTGCTGTTTTACTAAGTGGCCTTATGACATTGAAGGGGTTGGGGAACATGATGCAGTGAAAAGGCCACAATTCTCAGGTTGTATAATACTGGAAGCATACTTTCTCAGCAAATACCTCTTACCTTTCTGAATGGCCCACCATAACCTGCTCTTGACACAGTGATTTACAGTAAAAATTAGCACAAAATGTCTTTAAATTTAAAATGTAATGACATATTAAAATCACTATGTTGTATACATGAAACTAATGTAACATTATGTGTCAACTATCCTTTAGTAAAAAAAAACAAAACACCTTTTACAAAGAAAAAATAATGACATATCATCAAAATAACTTTTCAAAAGAATTGTTCTAGAAATAATTTTTGTGGGCAAATCATAGCACTTGCTACATCAGAGTTATCACTGTCAGTCTAAGCTACCCTGAGAAAATATATTTTGACTCAGTGACTGCTTTGTTTTATCCACGTTAAATAACTTTTTAAAAAAGTTAAGAACTTAATGTCATGTTGCTAAATGATTGTACATGTTAAATTGTTTTACATTACTTTGTCCTAATTTAGAAAATAGTTATGCTTTTAAAATGATTAAGTAAAAGGAAATTTATTATAGAAAATGCTTTTTCTTTTTTATATTTTGTATATGCATGAACTAGGTTCTTTTGGGAATATTATGAATCCTATAGGTGACTATACACTTCTCATGAAAAATGGGTCAAATTTGAAATACCATTTACTGTAGCATATTCACTGGCATTCTTTAAAAGTGGGTTATTATCTTATCAGTTACAGCAAAATAGTATAAAATGGCCTGTTTAATATAGATATACCTTTAAGTAGGGCAAAATTCTCACTTCTTTCCATTTTTTTTAAAAAAACAGAAATTATTGATTAAAAATGAAACACTTCCTTTTCTCTGATTTAAAAAATCATTGGTTTTCTTTCTCTTTAAATGACTGTAGCCTGTAGGAAGTAGCTTGGGAATGAGCTTTTAGCCTGATAAAGATGGATATTCTTCAAAATACTCAGAAATATGGGCTTTTTCTTTCCAGAACATGTTTATATGTTTAATAACAGAGTACAAAACAGTGAAAAAGGAAACAGAAAAAAGGAAGTATTTTTTTCTTTCTTATTTTTTGAGAGAGAGCACTTGCATGCAAAAATCGGGTGAGGGGAGTGGGAGGAGGGGCGGAGGGAGAGGGAGGAGGGGCAGAGGGAGAGGGAGAGAGAGAATCTTAAGCAGACTCCATGCTTAGCATGGAGCCTGTATGGGGCTCAGTCTCACAACCCTGAGATCATGACCTGAGCCTAAATCAAGAGGCAAACGCTTAACTGAGCCACCCAGGCACCCCAGGCCTGGGTGTAATTAAATGAACTTTTACTGATAAATTTTTACTGAGATTAAGGTGATTGTACAGGAAACTTATAGTGAGATTCTTTTGCATTTTTTTTTCTCCCAACAGCTACCATTTTATCCTGTGGATGGATTATTTATCTCACATATTATAATTCTCGAAACGTTGGTCTTATTTTAACATTGGTTCTTAATAGATTATACAAACATGGCTATATCCATATTGGTAAGTTTGAGTAACACTGAATGTTTTTCTCCTGCATAATCTTGAGATATATATTATAAATTTATATTTTATTAGTGATAGTAGCTTTAGAAATTTACCTTTGTTTCATGAACGTTAACCTAACTGGAATTTCTCTCCTTCAGCACTCTATGACTCTATCACTTGGTTAAGTTCTTTACCTCATTCTTATTTCTTAAAGGGTTTCTATAGTAACTTTTGGATTTTTTTTCTTATAAAAGATGCTCGTTAAAACAATTTGAAAAATATAGGCACATGTAAAATATGAAAATAAAAATTTCTCAGGATTCTACTATCCAAAGAAAGTTGCTAACGCACAGTGAGGTTTTTGCTTTTTTTTTTTTCAGTAACCCATACTTAAAAAATCTATAAGTTGGAATCATTTTGTGCATTTCATTTTGTGGCCTACATTGTTAAATTAAGTTTCCAACTACTCATAAGTGGGAAGTTTGCAGATATGAGGGTCTATTTGGAACCAATATGCTTCGGAAAACCCTCAATCAGTGGGAAAATGGGGGAGGTCACTGTCTAGAACCATTCCAGCCTTCCTTAGAGTACTTCTTAGTGGACATAGATAAAATTTCTGTCAAACATTAAGTCATCTTCCACTAATTTGAGGCAATGACTGGTTCCTGGAGTCAAAGAAATTAATGGAGAGAGTTGGTGAATTAGTCACTGCTTTGGGGTTTATTTAAAGTTGTGCATAATTAAGGGAATTATTCATATGAAACAGCTCTTCAGAGTCTTCATATGGTTATTTAGTAGCTCAGTTCATAGTGATGGTACTTATTGTACTTTTTGTTATATTTGAGGAAAGAGCAATAGAAAATTAGTAAGGCTGGAAGGATATCAAGAGGGAGTCAGGAGAGAACATTTAATTATTGAATAAACTGAATGCTAAGATTATTTTAAGCTTCAGGTGCTCGCTCTGGATCAAAACAATTCCATTAATCACTTTTTCTTTCCCCCCCTACAACAGGGTCCTTCTCTTTCTCTGTTCTTTCTGGAAAAGTCATGGTTCGTGAAATTTATTACATTACGGAAGACATGTCTATTAGGTAAAAAAAAACAAAAACAAAAAAAACTCATTTTAAACAAACTTGAAATATTGTAAAAATTTTTTTTCTGATATTTAATATGATTTGCTTTTTAAAATCCATAAATCAAAAATAATTTTTTTTGTAAATCATATCTGGTGAATTGATGTTTAAAAATATTTTTATCAATAGATTAATTTAGCTAAGGTTTAGACTGGCACAAAGTTTATCAAATAGCAGCCTAAAGAAACGAATAATCTCATTTCATTCCTAAATGAACACTTGAGCCATTAAATTACCTGACCACTTTTCTTGTAGAATTCATGGTTGTCATTTTTTACATAAAACAAGGATCAGGGATGCTGATAACTCATCCACTAGCTCCTTATTATAGGTAATAAGTTTTAAGAATTGTTTAGTATCTGTTAGCTACTTTAATTTTACAGTAAGGAGGAAACACAAATCTGAATATAATAAGAAATGACAATTATTATGTTTGCTATGTTCTTTCTTCTGTAGGCCTTGAAAGAAAAGCTTACTCTGTTTTTGTGATTATCTTAACATTTGTTACTTAGAACTTGAAAGTTTTAAATTAGTTGAGAGGTGGTAGGGTTTGGCAATACTCATACCTCACTTAAAATAGTAGAGGCAGCTTCTTTGTGAGTCTAAAATTATTTTGAAAAGAAAAGTAAAAAGTAAAGGTTGAGAGGCTATAAGTTCATTATTTTGAGGCATGAGGTTATATATGACTACAGAGAAGAAGGGGTATCTTTTTAAAAGTTTCTGTTAACATCCTAATGTCCCCCTTTCAAGATTTGGCTTTTTGTTTATATAGTTTTTACACCATTAAAAAATTATCATTTATAAAAGAAAAAAAGTTTTTCTGTTAGCACTTCATTTTCCTATTACGTATGATCTGGTATTAAATTTTACCTAAATAGAATAATCTAATTTAGAGCTACGTAAATTCTCTTTTCCATTTTTAACTAGAGATTATGAAGCATTTATGTATACTAGTGATCTTTTGAGAATTTTCTGTATTTTCATATTCATTATCAATTGCCTGCTTTTTATAATAATTAAATGAGTAAATTGTTACTGAAGTTCTCATTTTTTGTAATTTATATTGCATAGAATTCAAGATGGATTTATAATTTTTCGGTGGTGGAAAATGTATAATCCAAAACAGAAACAACATGGTGAGTCTTCATGTTTTTATGTATTTGAAGTCTTTAGTTATATGATCAGTGTTTTCATTTATGGACATTAAAACGTTTCACATTTTATAATAGATAAAAATATTTTTTAAAACTTTGGCACTTATAAACTCTGATTTTATCACCAGTTGGCTGAAAATTCTTCAGCAGCTTTCCTTTTGCCTGGTTAAGTTTATTTACTTAAGCATATTACTTATTCAGGGTTATCCTCAGTATGACTCTTAACTCCCGTAGCCTTACCTCCTATTACATCTGTGGACCTAACCCATTCTGTGGTTAAAATGGACTTCCTAGTAGTCTTTAATCATTTCTACTAAGACACTTTTCTTATTTTTCAGCTTCTGTGCCTTTATTCATAGTCTTACCTGACACTGCTACTAATTCTCATTTATCTACTATGCTAAGGATGAGTAGGAAGAGGAAATGAAGGCTCTAGACTCTTCCAGCTCTGCTTTTATCATCAGAATTTTATCACCTCAGAATTTTCTCCCGAGGTCTTCATTGCACAACTCTATAGGTGCTCCTGTGCTCCTAACCCTCCTACCTGACATTAATCCTACCAGTGACTTCAAGGAATGTAGACCTTGACTTTACTGTGTAGAATAGTGGTTCTCAAACTTTTCAATCTCAGGAACTGTACATTCTTCTAAATTACTGAGGACCCCAAAGAGCTTTTATTCATGTAATTTTTATTGATATGTACTGCATTCAAAATTCAGCCTGGGGGCGCCTCGTGGCTCAGTCGGTTCGGCGTCTGACTCTTGATTTCAGCTCGGGTCATGATCTTAGGGTCCTGAGACTGAGCCTGTGTTGGGTTCTGTGCTGGGTGTGGAGCCTGCTTGGGATTCTCTCTCTCCCTCTCCCTTTGCCCCTCCCCCTGCTCACACTCACATACTCTCTCTCTCTAAAATAAATAAATAAAATCTTTAAAATAAATTAAGCCTGATAACTATAGAAATATTTATTTCATTAAAAATATCTATAACCCATATGTATTAAAATAAATACCGTACTTTATGAAAAATAACTTTTCTAAAGCAAAAAGAAAACCAGATAGAAGAGTGGCATTTTCTATATTTTGCAAATCTTTTTAATGTCTGGCTTAATAGAAGATAATTGGATTCTCACTTCTGCTTTTATGTTCAGTTTGTTAAAGTGCCATGTATCATACATACAGCCTTTAAAAAAAACTCCACTGTCCACTCATGGGAGAATGATTGAGAAAAAAAGTTTAACATCTTCAAATAAGAACACTGTTAAAATAGTTTTGACCTTTTGGTCCCTGGAACAGATCTTGGGATCCCTGCAAAGGTCGCCAGACCAACTTTGGTAAATATTGCTCTAGAAGACTTTAGATGGGGCCTTGGAGAGTAGTGTCAGAAGATGATGAGACCCTTCCACCTTTTCTTAGCTATTAGGACTATCTGTGTTTCTGGCACCCCACATTAAGATTCTGAAATGGTGGTTACGGTCTGTAGAACTTTGGAATTTTCCAATTAATTTTTTTTTTTTTTTTTTGGTGGGTACACTTAGGATTCTTGCTATCATTTTTAACTTTGTTTCTGTGGTAAAATAGATTTAAAGTTCCCAAAAGTTTTTAAACTTACCACAAGACTGAGCTAGCCTAAATTACTTTTGAATTCACTATTCATTATTATTTAGTCTTTTTTAACTGTCATTTCCTTGCATTTCCCACATAGCTTTTTCCCCTTTAACATAATACATCATGTACTTTTCCTTGAAAAGACTGGCATAAATTGATGACAATTTGACATATATAGAATTAATGAAATCAGAATGACTAGAAAGAATGGGCGGATTTCATGTCTGGAAAAAGTTTTCTAAAAATTAAGAGTTTATGAAATAATTTTGAGCAGAGGTTAAGTGATTTCAAATGATAAAAGTTTTCTTTTGGTAGTTTGAAATAGACTTTTCTGTCTGTCTCCTAAGTGATTTCAAATGATAAAAGTTTTCTTTTGGTAGTTTGAAATAGACTTTTCTGTCTGTCTCCTGTGATTCAGAATGGCTGTGTGTTAAGTCTCTACTCTATGGTTTTAGAAAATCGGTTGTTAACACTGCCTTTTTACCTCTTTTTTTAAGCAATTGCTTTAAGCATTTTCACAGGAAAAAGTGTTCTTTAGATAGTCAATATGTTAGTGCCCTGGAAATCTTTTAAGTTTTGACTTTTATCAAATATGAATATATTCAAAATTTTGAATCACTTTCCTACACTATTATCCACATTAAATTTTGTGGAGATAATATTCCTGATTATTTTTGATATTTTATTTGACTGTATGCCTTAAAAGTGGAATTTAAGTAAAGGTATTTTACTTGTACTTCCGAGATGGCTAGCACTCATTCCTAAGAGCCAAGTTCTTTTGAGTTCAGTCCCAGCTTTTGACACATTCACTTAACTTTGAGCAGGCCCAGTATTTTTGCCTCTAATTTGGTTTGTAAAGTCTATCTAGTTTGTCCCTGAGAGGTAGATTTACTTTAGGACCATATATTTTTGCTGCATGTCGTGCTTCTGTTAATCTTGCAATGATGTGCTCTTTTGATTTAGTCTCAGTTTAGTTTTTTTTCCCCACGTTTAGTTATCATAAGCTTTATTGTTAATGAGATTTCAGCAGAGCTGAAACAAAAGTTCTCCTTGTTTATATTTTAAAAAAAGCCTTTTTGTATATTTACATTAGAAATTTTATTGTATTTTTTTTCAGTGTTTTAAGATGTTCTTGTGAACCAATGAAACTATAGGGATATGAGTTGAGAAGGCCCATTTGACCTAACATCCCCCCTTCCCCACCCCATGCTCTTTACCCCAGGATTCCAAGGACTTACACAGTTAGGAAACAACTGATTTTCCCAAAATCCCTTATCAATTTGGAAACAACTAATGATCTTAAAAATCCTCATTTTGCAGATAGAAAAACAGAAATTCCTGTTATTAATAAATGGTAAAGCCAGAATGAAAACCTAGGTCTGCTAACTTCCAGTCTAGTGTTCCTTGTATTATAAAACAGGTTTGTCAAATGTGGCCAAGTAGGTTCTTAAAAATTCTTTTTTTTTTTTTTTTAAAGATTTTATTTATTTATTCATGAGAGCCAGAGAGAGAGAGAGAGAGAGAGGCGCAGAGGGAGAAGCAGGCTCCCAAGGAGCAGGGAGCCTGATGCGGGACTCGATCCCAGGACCCTGGGATCATGGCCTGAGCCGAAGGCAGACGCTTAACCATCTGAGCCACCCAGGCGCCCCCGGTTCTTAAAAATTCTTATATATAAACACTGGTGGCAGCTTATGGGAGGAATGAATATGATAATTTGCAGTATCCAGAGGCAACTGCAAGTTTTAAGGCTAAGCCTAATGGGGTTGCCCACTTTAGAATTTTCTTAGACATGCGGAATACCATCTTAAATTGTTTGTCGCTTTTTTTTCTTTTTTGAAGAAAATAATTACTTCATTTTATCTCCTTAAAGTGGATTGCTTTTCACCAAAATACATAGATGAGATCAAGAGTAGCTGACCCAAGGGCACCTTGGTGGCTCAGTTGTTAAGCCTCTGCCTTCGGCTCAGGTCATGATCCCAGGGTCCTGGGATTGAGCCCCACATCGAGCCCCACATCGAGCTCCCTGCTCCATGGGAAGCCTGCTTCTCCCTCTCCTGCTCCCCCTGCTTGTCTTCTCTCTCTCACTGTGTCTCTCTCTGTCAAATAAATAAAATCTTTAAAAAAAAAAAAGTTGGGAGACTTTATCAGTTATCACATTTGCAATTCTAATTATTTGCTCATAGTTTTCCCTACATTTCAACATTTAAATCTATGTGTTCATCGAGAAGAGCACAGCTTTGCTGAGGGTCAAAGAAGTTTCTCTCTCATGTGCTTTTAAAAGAAATTCTTGGGGTGCCTGGGTGGCTCAGCTGTTAAGCGTCCGCCTTTGGCTCAGGTCATGATCCCAGAGTCCTGGGAATGAGCCCCGCATCGGGCTCCCTGCTCTGTGGGAAGCCTGCTTCTCCCTCTCCCACCCCTCCTGCTTGTGTTCCCTCTCTCACTGTGTCTCTCTCTGACAAATAAAATCTTAAAAAAAAAAAATTCTCTGTTACAGAGGTTGCCATTCTTAAGATGCTCAGTCACACCTTTCCAAAATAAAGGCACAATGCCAAATAGCAATGCAGGAATAAGCGGTTTGATCTAAATACGTTATTAGTTTAGCATGATTCAGAGATAGAATATACTACATAGAAGAATGAGTAGGCTGCAAACTGAGCTTTTGGTAAAAAGTTGAACAATATTATGGAATATATATTAAAATAGTGAATTACATTCACTAATGAGACCTTACAGTCTAGATATGATTTCTTACTGCTGAAGGTCAGATCCAGATCATGTACTTTCACAGTTAACTGAGCAAGAAGTGGAGATGGTTGACATTTCTTGTTGGAAAATTTGGATACCTAATTGGAGTGTGTGCCTGAATAGATAATGGCCACTAGCAATCCAAAGAGATAGGCTAAGGTCTGTCTGGGTAAGGCTAAGATTTTCATGAGAAAACTTTAGAACTATTTTATTAGGAGAGAAGAGGAATGTTCAGGTGCTCAAATTCTGTGCCATTGAGCTTGGTTGGGATAATTTAATGCAGGAGTAGATTTAGAGTTGTCAGTTGTTCAGTTTAATCTTAAAAAAAAAATCTAATTTGTTTAACATAAAATTTGTTGTAAAATATTCCCTAGGTCATGAAATTAGTGATCTGCTATAGATGATTGTTGGCCAAAGACTAATTAGTGAGGATAACCATCAAAAACCTTTATTTTGGTTTTTAGGATAGTTGATTTTAAGCCATTCTTTTGGAAAATAAGTAGCAGAACCAATTACCTCTTAATATGTGATGATACAGTGTTTAAATGAATACCAATCTAAATAACTAGGCATGCATCTTTCTTATCTAGAGAAGTTCTTACATTGCTAAGAAGTGAAAGGATGATGGTAAAGT